CGACGAACGACAACGCCACGAGGAACGACAACGCCAGGGGGGACGTCAGCGTAACACTGGCAAGCAGCAGCGCCGCCAAAGATGATGGCTTTTGTTTTTCTGAGTGCAGGTGTGTCTCTGTCTGTGCGCGAAAGCAGGAGTGAATGGGTGGAGAAAGCTTTAAGGGACAAAGTGCCCAAAATAGGGTTGGACAGCATGATGCGGTGCTTTGCATCGTGTATGGTTGCACTGTTATCTACTTATTTTGCACAAATTTATAGAAATCACCACCTCGTTCTTCCCCCTCCCCTCCCTTCTCTCAAACACATTAGTGCAGTGCGGCTAGGTGAGGTTGGGTGTGAGGCGGGGGCGGGTGGCAAAGGTGAAACGTTTGCCTCCGAGCCTGGACTGTGTTTGTAGTGGTTATAGTAGAGGTGAGCGTAACTGTTGCCCCGCCACGTGGTTTTTTTTCTTTTCTGATTGGCCCCCTGAATGTGCACTCGCAGTGTACAAAGCTTTCCTGCGCTGCTCACCGACCTTGCTTTGGAGAATTATGCTAACCACCTCACTTCGCAACGCAGATCCCAGGTAACTGATTCAATTTCAGGAACGACGAGCGGTGCGGCTTCTCTGGAGGAGGCCTTGGCGCCGCTGCAGCTTATTCATGGGAAGGTTTTTACTTTGGCTGTCGGAATTGCACTGCATGGTGCTGAGTCTATCATTCGTTACGTGGCAGGCGACACCTGTGAGCCGGGTGAGGGGGTTTCACACGACGAGCAACAGGACCAGCAGCGGCATGTGGGAGGCGAAGGGGTTCGTTTCAGTGGCAGGTGCCTTTATTTTGTCGGTGAGCACCGCCTCTTCTCGCCGTACTACTGCCCATGTGCGGCGTATGGCTATCAGGGCATTCGACGGCAAGAGGCGTGGCTGTGTAAGCACCTGCTTGCACTCCGCATTGCACTTGTTTTGGAAGAAAAAGGCCCTGTGGAGGGCGTCATACGCGAACGCAAGGTAACGAAGTGCCAACTTCAGGAAATGATGCAGCTGCTGGACTGAAAGGCAAAAGCGAGTGAATGCCGCCGTTATACTTTTTATTTTGCTTTTTTATTTGTCGTCCTTTCCCTCGCCATAGCCGACAGAAGCAGACTCGGACAATTTCCCTCTCTTTGCTAGTATACATTTTTGCCCTTTGTTGGGCCAAAGTGTGTGTGTACATATAATGAGGTATGGTATGGTATGGTGTTCTCTCCACCCCTCCTTTTTTTTTTGTGTCTCTCTCCTCCACCCGCGTGTGAGGTTTCACGATTGTTGTTATTGTATGTGTGTGTGTTTTTTTTTGCTCACTTTTCCTTTCTCACCTCTTGTGCGTCGCGCCGACTGGGTTAGGAAATAGTTCCGAGTAGTTTGTAGGATTTGGTCAGATATATTTGCTGCTCCGTCGTCTGTCTGTCTGTCTGTCTGTGTGTGTGTGTGTTCCCCTTCTCTGTGCATATATGGTCGCCTCCCCCAACTTCCCAGGCAGGCGCGTCGGCAGGCAGGGAACGCCACGGCGCCCCAACGGACTGTCTCTGCAGGCGCTGGATGAGACAATACAGGAACGGAGAGGGTCTTGTCAAACCAACGTTCTTACCGCCTTCTCTGCCCTCTGGGGGGCCTCGTTGGAGCAACCGCAACGCCCACTTCGGGAGTTCTTGCTGCCACCAGCTGTGCCCATCCGAGAGGTGTACACTACCCACCTTCTAGTCAACCTCCTTTGGTTCGCCAGAAACTACTACAACCTGGCCTTGTTGATTTCTTTCGTGGTCTCCATATGCATACCCTCCTACACCTTGATTGTGATTGTGAGCTGCATGATGCAACTTACGAAGCGGTACATGTTTCGCAATACGTTAGTAACGGCTTCCGACACTGCTAAGTCGACTCGAGAGGAAAGAGGTCGTAGCGGGATAATGGTGTTGCTGACGCTCCTACAGATCTGTTGCTGCATTTACGTCTGGTCTCTGACGGGGCTGTTTTCTATTGTGATGTGCATTGCTGCCGTGGCGACGCCCATAGTTGCTCATGCCTTCTTAACACCCTACACGGATGAGGCCTTCAAGCTTTACTATGAGGTTCTCCGAGCGAAGGATTTGCCACCTCCGATGCCTCGCTCGCCGACGTGTTCGTTTTCCTCGGTGGACCCCGCGTTCGATGTCCTCAGCAACCTGGAGGCTTTTTCCATGAGTCCTCCACACCTTAGCAGTGAGAGAGTTGTCAAGCGAACGCTCTCTCGCTCCCTCTCGGCGCCCCGCCGCTCAATCAGGGAGGCAACTTCGAAACTGCATTGGCGAATGCAGTCGCCTGAAGTTTTTGATCGCGCAAGGCGAAGTGCCTTCTAGGGCGGCGCTGCCGCTGAGAAGCAATCCTCCTCCCCTTCGCAGGAAGAACTTGCTGGACGCACCGATCCCATCACCGCTGTGCCTCCTGCAGCTGGGGCCGAGGGGCCCAGTGAGGCGTGCTGTTGGCGCTTCACTGCGGCGTCTGCATTTGCACCGAAGCGCAGGCAGGGGTTGCGATGCCGCCTAACTTCGCCAACGCTGTGGCGCGCATGCCCTTCCTGGAGCCACTCCACGACGCCGCTCAGACGACGAGGAAGCGTGCTGCTGAAGCGAGAGCATACCCTAGCCCCGCGAAGAGGAGTGCGGGGGGAGCCGGTGACGGACACTGCAGGCGAAGGGATGTCGTCCGTTGCTTGTGCTCGCACCACCGTCGCCCCCCGCTCTGCGCCCCGTTCCCGCAGAATAATAGCGCCGCAATTTACCGGCAACACATGAACGAAATGTGGCTTGTCACGGAAATGTCACTGGGCACGCCCAAGTGCGACAGCATACCGCGAAAGCCAGGGCAAGTGATAGATCCACAACCAGTATGAGGGGAGAGGGCGGAGGGTGCAGGATTGAAAATGGAGTTGAAGCAATTATTTTTAGTTGAAGAAATAAGGCTAAAAACAGAAGGTGCGGGCTTACTATACACGTTTATCGAGGATAATTTACCATGCGAGTCAGCCTTAACGGAGTAGCGTCTCCAAAGTGACACGTGTCTGAAAGCCTGGAGTGCGGATCCCATGAATCTAACTCTTCACCTTGTATGTTCTCCTTCTGGCGGCCTACACGGATGTGCTATATCTACATATTTGTTTATTTATATAAATTGTAGAAGAAAGGGTGCTTTCCCCACCAGAACAGTGCGAGTTCATTTCATTTCCGCTTCTGTCGGCGAGGTAAATAGTACAGAAGAAGGAGGGAGAAACCCCTGGTACGTTCTTGGACTTGGTATTTTACTGCGTTTCGGCGAGGTGGGACGAGAGGGTATTTGTAGTCGTGGGTGCCAGTATCATAAATTGTGGCATACACACGCGTATGTGGGCTTTATATCGGGGTATGAAGGCAGTTTGGTTTCCGCGACGCAGTACTTTTGATCGAGAGTGAGGGAAGGATGAAATTGCAGTGCTAAGCTTTATCGAGCTGGGTGCTCAGAATCATATATATATTTCCTGGCGTCTTCGTGGAGAAATGTACAACCGAACGAGACTCAATAGGTGGGTGAGTCGCTTCTACAATTCTTGCTGTTACTTTGCATGCTAATTGATTTGCTTTGTCCCAAGGGCACCGCGGCGGAGGGGCGGCGAGGGTGACCGTCGGGCCCTCCTCCCGGGTGCAGGCGCTTCTTCTCCTGCCCGAGGCACCCGCCAGTGCGGCGGACGGCTCCGGGGGACGGCTCGGAGGGTGCGGGGCGTCCGCGCCGTTCCACACGGCGATGACGTGGGCCTCCTGCGTCCGTGACGGGGAGCTCAACGCGGCGCGGGGCGTTGTGGTGTCGGGAACAGGCAACCCGCACGGGGTTGAGGAGGCTTTTTTGCGCGCATTTTCTGGGGTGTGCGGGTGCACGCCCTCGTTGAACCCCGGCAACACGCCGACGATCAGCTTCCGGGCGACGCTGCTTTTGGATGCGCATACCCCGCCGCATTCGACTCGAGTCTGCGGTCAGCTTCGCAGTGGGCGTCTCTGTCGACGGCTGGCAAAGGGCAACGGGGGCGGCCAGCACGCTGCCGCCGAAGCAAATTATTTGGCCACGACGCGGCTACACGCAAGGTGCGCAGCTTCGTGTTTCCCCCAGGCTACCGACTGAGTCTACAGGCTGTCCGACGGTTTCCCACACAGTTGCACACACACATAAAAAAAGGGAACGCCGAGGGGCTGCACAATGGCTGCGCCGGAGGTTGCCGCCTCGAAGTTTCTCTGCGTCATAGCAATTTTGGAAATCCGCTTGAGGACGCAATTTTTTTTTTCTTTTTCAGGGCGGTGAGCCGGCGTATGTTCACTTTGAGTTGAGGGAGTCTCCTCGGGCGATCCTGATTTCTTTTTTTTTCCTGACGCCTATCAGTTCTGGCTTCGCGGCGCTCGCAGGATTCTTCTGGGAGTGCGCGGATGGACGACACTAAAAAATTCCAGGCACCCGGCGACTTGTCCCGTCGCGGGTGCGGACTCACACATTTGTTGCGCGCTGCCGCTTCCGGCTGCTGCAGGCGTCGAGGTGGGCCGGGGGAACCGCTGCGGTGCTCCCCCATACACTTCTCTCATGTAGGCGGAAGCACGGGCCGTTTTGCCCGCCTTGCTGGCATTCGCCGAGGGTTTGCCCCAACGCATGGGTGTCTGCACGGACACTGCCCCGTTGCGGGGTGACGCCTTTGAAGAGGAGAGCAGTGCGTCTTGGCGCGGCAACTGGAAGTAGCATTTTGTGTATTATTTTTGGCGTCCACGAAATCGGCACGCCTTGAGCACAAGTGCGGTCACAGGACATCCCCGCGCGGATGACGCGTCGCGTGGCCGTTACTTCAGTTCTGACGGCGTGGCGGAAGGGGCTGAACTTGTGAGGGGGAGCGGCGGTTGCGGAGCCCGTACTTCTGACACTTTGTGCGTTTACGACGGGGGCCCAGGTGTCGTGCGGTGATCTGTGGGCCAATGGGTTTGCTGGTGGTGGACCTTGAGGCGGAACTTGCGCCCGCTGGACGAGGCTGTAATCGTCTGATGCGTTTATCTCAACCGACGTGAGGAAGTGTGGGGCGGATCCCAACCACCGCGCAGCTCGCCGTTTTTGTTTGTTTGTCGTGTGTGTTTCATTGTGGCAGTGCGCGTGATTGGGGCGGAAGCCGGAGATGCCAAGTGAAGGGCTTTTTTGTTGTTGTTTTTGTGTGAGACCTCGTGGGGTTCTGGGCGAAATTAAGGCACAAAAAAAAACGTGAAATTGGGCGAAAAACAACAAATGCAAGAAACGCTATGCTGCGAGCGTTATACTGCACACCGAGAGAGCGCGCGCGAGAGGGGCGTATATATTCCTGTACGTGCCTTTTTTTCTTTGCTTGCTTTCTCACGCACGTACCCGCACGGGCAGAGAAACTTTTCTCCACACATACGCGTACGAATTGGCTCTGTACATAAATATACCGACAAACAACCCACAGTAGAGCCTGGTCCGATGTTGCGCCGCTTCACAGCAGTATGGCTTTGTGCGGCAAGCGGTGGTAATGGGAACAGGAAACGCCCTGGTTTGGCTCGGCGCACTGTCATTCACTCTCGTGTGCCTTCTACCGACCCCCCCTCCGCTTCCCTTTCTTCGCTTGGCGGCAGCACTAACCACGGCAAAGCCACAAAGCCTTTTTCTAACTCAAAAGCCGCAAAAGGAACCACCGAAGGAGATATGACTGATAGCAAGGGAGACCGTGGAGAAGGCCCGCTCCAAAACTTTGACGATGAACTAAACTTTCCAAAAATGGAGGAGGAGGTCCTGCAGCTCTGGGATAGGCTGGACGCCTTCCGTGAATCTCTCAAGCAGTCGGAGGGGAAGAAGCGCTTCAACTTTTACGACGGCCCGCCCTTTGCCACGGGTTTGCCCCACTACGGCCACCTTTTGGCTGGCACCATCAAGGATGTCGTCTGCCGCTATGCCCATCAAACTGGACACCATGTGGTGCGGCGCTTTGGGTGGGATTGCCATGGACTTCCAATTGAGTACGAGATTGACAAGGCACTCGGGATTAAGACCTCCCATGATGTGATGGCTCTTGGCATCGCCAACTACAATGACGCGTGTCGGAGCATTGTGATGCGTTACTCCGAGGAGTGGCGCAAGACAGTAGCCCGCATGGGACGTTGGATTGACTTTGAGAACGACTACAAGACAATGTATCTTTCGTACATGGAGTCTGTTTGGTGGGTCTTCAAGCAGCTATGGGATAAGGGTCTCGTCTACCGCGGTTTTAAGGTGATGCCATATTCAACAGGGTGTACCACCCCCCTGAGTAACTTTGAGGCCAATGCAAACTACCAGAATGTGAGTGATCCATCTGTAATGGTGGCGTTCCAGACAAAAGATGATCCAAACACGTACTTTATCGCTTGGACAACGACGCCGTGGACACTGCCAAGTAATTTGGCGCTTTGTGTTCATCCCGAGTTTGACTACGTGAAGGTGTTGGACGCCAAGACGAAACGGCACTACATTGTGGGTGAGGTGCGGCTTCCAGATATATTTCCCAGCAAGAAGAAAGGTGGCCGTGCAGATACGGAGGGTCCGCCGTACACCATCGTTGACCGCATGAAGGGGAAGGATCTTGTTGGAATGAAGTACGAACCACTTTTCCCATACTTTAAATCCACGTTTGGGGAACGCGCTTTCCGTGTCATTAGTGACACCTACGTTGAAACAGACAGTGGCACCTGCGTCGTGCATCAAGCGCCTGGATTTGGTGAGGACGATTTTGGGATATGCATCATGAATGGTATTTTTGACAAGGAGAATGTGTTATGCCCTGTTGATGAAAATGGGCGGTTCCATGCGGAGGTGCACGATTTTGCTGGCCGCTACGTGAAGGAGGCAGATGAAGACATTATGAAGTACTTGGATGCGAAGGGTCTGCTGCACAGCAAAGGTTCTGTGGTCCACAGTTATCCGTTTTGTTGGCGAAGTGAGCTGCCGTTGATCTACAAGGCAGTGGACTGCTGGTTCGTCAACGTGGAATCGATGCGTGAGCGTCTGCTGGCGGCGAATGAGAATACCACATGGGTACCAAACTTTGTCAAGACTCGACGCTTTTCGAACTGGCTGGAAGGCGCCAAGGATTGGAATCTCTCCCGCAACCGCTACTGGGGCACACCCTTGCCCATTTGGCACAGCGAGGACTGGGAGGAAGTGGTCTGTGTTGGCAGTGTGAAGGAGCTGGAGGAGCTTTCCGGCGTGACCGGCATCACCGACATCCACCGGCAAGTTGTGGATGAAATTACGATCCCAAGCAAGCGACCAGGCAAGCCGCCGCTACGCCGGGTCGAGGAGGTCTTCGACTGCTGGTTTGAGTCTGGATCGATGCCGTATGCCCAGTCCCACTACCCCTTTGAGAACAAGGAAGAGTTTGAGAAGAGGGGATTTCCGGCAGATTTCGTGGCGGAGGGGTTGGATCAAACCCGGGGGTGGTTCTACACTCTCCTCGTCCTTGGCGTCGCCCTCTTTGACACCTCGCCATTTAAGAATGTCGTGGTAAACGGCCTCATCCTTGCCGAAGATGGAAAGAAGATGAGCAAGCGACTGAAGAACTACCCGGAGCCGTCGAAAATCATTGATACACACGGTGCCGATGCACTGCGTATGTATCTTATTAACTCTCCGGTGGTTCGCGCGGAGCCTTTGTGCTTCCGCTCCCAAGGTGTCCGCGGCATCGTCAAGGATGTCATGCTGCCACTCTTCAATGCCACCAAGTTCTTTATCGCAAACGCCAACTACTGTGTCCTGAGCGGTGGAACCGTTTCCCTCGACGTCGTCAGCAATAATGAGATGGATCGGTGGATCTTGGCCTCCACGCAAACCCTCCAACAATACGTGAGGAAGGAGATGGATGTGTATCACTTGTACAACGTTGTTCCAGGTGTGCTTCGCTTCGTTGTGGATCTTTCCAACTGGTACGTTCGCATGAATCGCAGCCGTATGAAGAGCACTGTGGACCAAGAAGACCGCTCGCAGGCTCTATCAACGATGCTCACGGTGCTCTTTTCCGTTTCCCGCATCCTCTCTCCCATTTCTCCGTTTGTGGCGGAGATGCTGTATCAGCGCATCAAGCCACTCCTGCATGAGTCGGAGCATGTGGACTCCGTGCACTACCTCATGTTCCCCGAAGACGATAAGGGAAAACATGACGAAGATTTGGAACGTGCCATGAAACGCATGATAGTCGTTGTCGAGCTCGCCCGTGTGCTTCGGGACCGTATGGTGATTCCCATGAAGCGTCCGGTGAGACAGGCGATTATTGTGCATCCTGATCCGACCTACCTGGATGATGTACGCAGGGTGGTTCAATACATCAAGGACGAGGTGAACGCGTTTGACGTGGTCCTGACATCTGGGGAGGAGTACGTCCTGACGCGGCTGGATGCCAACATGGAGATCTTGGGAAAACGTCACCGCAAGGAGGCGCCTCGGATCCGCAAGGCGATTCAAGAAATGTCGCACGACGATGTGGCAAGCTTCCTTAACACCGGAAAGGCAGAGGTCTGCGGGGTTCCGCTCACCTTGGACGACGTCAAGGTGGTGCGCAAGATCAGGGATGGGATTACCGACTTTGACAGCAACACCGACAACGATGTGGTGGTGCTGCTGGACAAACGCGAGGATCAGGCTCTGGTGGATTCCTGGCGGGCGCGGGAGTTCGTCAACCGCGTGCAGCAATTGCGCAAGAAGGCAAAGCTTGTGGTCACCGACAAGGTGGACGTGTACTTTCAGTGCGAGGACTCGGAGCTCACTAACTCCATCCTCAACTGCGCTCAGCAGGTAAATAAGACAATTCTGGGCAAATGGCATACGATGGAAAAGAGGCCGGAAGCCGCGAAAGTTGTTGCTGAAGAAGACAACAGCATTTCTGGCGTCGGTATCAAGATTGTCTTCACGGAGGTTTCGGCCTGATTTGCGGGGACCTGCGTTATCTTTTTCTTGTGCTCTTCCCATTTCTTCTTCTCTTTCCTACGCAGCAGTGCATTTTATTTTATTTGTAAATTCTCTTTGCGATGATGGGATTTTGTAATCTTTTCGCTTTACAATGATTAAAAAAAAAAGAAAGATTTTCCCCTTTTTTCAAGAATTTTCATTTTGTTTTTCCTTGTAATATCGCGTCACGGGTCTTGGATGCTGCTGTGTGCGCTATTCAATGCAATGGTTATGGCCGCTGTTTCTCCCCGCTGCCATTACCGTGACTACTTCCTTTTTTGAGTTTGACTTGTTCCCGCGCCCATTTACTACCGTTACTGCTATTCTGCACAATAACGTCTGCATATTTCCACAGCGATAACTCGGGCGGTCAGTCGGTGCCGTTCGTTGTTCCCTCCTCTTTTTCCGCGCCACCTCTTCGTGCCCGGCCCAAGCGGCTGTGGTAGAGAATGCGTGCCGAGCCGAAGTATCCGACGAGGGGCGAAGAGATGGAGGATCTATAGAAAAAAAAAGAGGGGGAATAACAATAATAAAGAAGTAGTAACACACGTGTGGGGGGGGGGGGTTGCCGTTACTACCGGTTGGCAGAACCCTGTGGAGAGGAAAGACGGCGGAAAAGGCTAAAAGAAGAAGAAAC